CATGACCCCACTGTATGTCAGATTCGACCACTTCCACAGTGCCCACCTCACCTTTTTTTCTCAATCTTTGTGTCTGTATCATTTACAACTGTGAATCATTCTTCTGTTCCCTTTCTCGATTTTTTTTGAGACATTGATGTTCCTCCCTCTTTGAAGACCGAGGTCAAATAAAGGGCCAATTATAACTATCATAAATCCTGCCATGTTATAAATAAACAGTTCTTTGTTTCTTCAAAAGTTCTTTGATCCTTCACTCAAATTGGTGACGGATACATATATTGACCTCCAGGAACCGAAAGAGGATGATAGGGAATGTTTAATATGTAATATTTTTGCATAAAATGGTAGTTATCATTTGGCTATTTAGTTGACTTCGTTCTTCAAAGAGGGAGGAACATCAAAATCACGAAAAGTCGAGGAGGGGAGGGGGGAGGGACAGAAAAGTGATTCACAGATGTAAAAGAGACCAACACAAAAGTTGAGAAAAAGGTAAGGTGAGTACTGTGAAGTGATCGAATATGACATATAGTCTGGCCATGGTAATTTGAAGTCAGAAATCAACTGCCGGTTTTTATAGACCTTTTTGCTGTGTCAACATACGTTGCTCCGAATTCACCCCGTGGAGGTAAGTCAATTGCTCACCACTCTTATCATAATACACCAGAGCATACTCTCAGAAGCAATTTAAAAAAGCCTAAATGAGAAGAAAAGCGTCAGGTTCTTTCATATCGGTTGTTTAAACCAACAGACTTGAACAGCAATGTAGATGCTGAAAAAAAACGTCTGTTTACAAGGTGGACACAATTACTGATGGCCTTTGTCTAATGAATGCATTGTCCAGGGCAGATTTCCATTCCTCCCTTTATTAATCACATTTAACTGGTGCGGCTGGCTATTTCCATAGCGGTGATGTCATCAAGTAATCTCTAATTTATTTGATGGGGAGGGGAGGGGGGGGGGTGGTAGAAAACGTATATCATCTTTAACCACCCTGTCCAAATCCTATAATAGATAGAAAAAAAACAGCACATATTTTTCATAACCTCGATGAGAAAAAACCTCGATAAGGCAAAATACTTCCATCTAGTAAATATTGTGAAAAAAAAAATTTGCAAAAATACAAAAAATAAAAATTTACCTAAAATAAAATTTCGACGATCAGCAACACTCATTTGAACAAAAACACTCTGATCAACGGGTAGGCGACTTTCCAACTGCCTTAAGAATTGCATCAACTGGTAAAGAGAAAGTCGCTATAACTTGAATTATTCCTTCTGGCGTATTGAGATAAAAAGCTACAACATACCCTCTCGTGTGAATCTTCAAGATCTGTAGTCCGGTTGAGAAATTCCACCGACTTTGTGAGACTTTGGCTTTGTTTTGACCTCAACGCCAATAATTCACCCTCTAAACACTCAAGTTTCCGTTCAGCATCCGCCAATTGGCCAACTACTTCTGATAATTTTATTTGCAATCGAGAACATTCCTATAGAGTGTGTGATTAAAATGACGAATTATAAAAATTGACTTTAAAGAAATAAATTAGAACAGAGAGATAGAACAAACCTCTGCATTGTTGGCAAGCGCAGTTAAAACCCTTCGAACAACCTCAAGAATTTCCTCCTCGGAGTCGTTGCATCTCCATGCTGAACGATTCAGTAAGTCGGATAGTGATTGCCTAGAGTCGGCAAAGTGATTGTTGTTTTCAACACTTACACCTACCTAAAATTCATATTTTCTTTCAGTGCATTGATTCTCTCTCTAACCGAATTGTCCTCAAATCGAGAAATTCGATTTCTCGCCTCGTCTAATTGTAACTCCAATGTATTCAAACGTTTCTTCAAGGCAGCATTTTCAATCCGAACTGCATTCATTGCCTAAAGTTGGAGTGAAATTAAAGCCCTCTTAATTGTCGGGCAAAAGATAACAAAGCAAACAATGGATCTGGGTCTACTGAAATCCATACAGAGAAATTCTAAGCTTAAGACAATTTTTACACAATGAATTCCCTGTAACTATGGCAATATAAAAGTGTACAATGACTAAGGAAAAACATCCCACTGTCGAATAAGACAAAATGAAGAATTTTCTTTAGCAAAGGCCTAAAATGGTGCAATTTGAAAATGTGCAAACTTATAACAAAAAAGGTAATATCATTTGAGTTTACTGCAGGCTCTTGTTGTGGTTCCTCAAAATTGTCATCCAATCGACGTACACCACTGCGTGTAAGTTGGGAGATAACACTCTTAAGATGAGAAATCTGCAAATTCTTGCTTGAGATTTCATCCTTAAGTTCTTCAATTAGAACAGTATTTTCACGCGATTTGGTGATGCTAAAAGCGATCTAAAAGATCCAAAAAATTTAAATTCCACAGTCCTACTTCTGTCTTCAACCGTTGAACAGCATCGTTTGAGAAATCAAACTCTTCCTGCGCTGAAGATGGAGGTTTTGTTGAAGTGACAATGACATGCATCCAATCCACTAGGTTTTTATATCGCTCATCCATCTCCATGGCATAACGCTTTGTATATTCACCATCGACCTTTAGTATTCTAATTTAAATTTTAAATATATTTCCTAATCAATTACTCAATAGTTTGTTGTTGATCAGCAATATGGTTCAGCGAGCCTCGAAAATTTTCTACAGCTTTTTTCGTCTTATCCTGTTCGTGTTTCACAAGCCGATATGGTATCTCAGTATTTACAATTAACGCATTTTGTTCTTCTATGTTTAATTCACTTGAATGCTTATCTAATTTATCTGATTCCTCCTTTAAGCTTGAACCATATTCACCATACTTACTGTTCCGTTGTTCAATCTAAAATATGACTTTAGTAATCAAATTCGCTACCTTCGTTTGGGTGTCATGAATGAAGTTTAAATGATTAGGTTGAGAGAACGAACTTCGCAGTCGCTGGTCTACATCAGTAGAAAGTTTTGTAAGTATGCGATCCTTTTCGTCCAAGTCATACTTACAGAAGTTAAGTTTCTTTTCAAGCTTAATTAACAAATATGTTTAACTCTTAATAAAAAGGTTTACATTAACTCATTAACTTATAATCTTCAAAAAGTTATTTGGTTAGTAATATAAACAAGTAACAGGAAAAATCGATAAAATAAATAATCCTACTAGTGTGTTCAAATCTAATTCCATTTACATTTTTGTACAATTTGTCATTCATCTCAAATTATTTCATATTCTGCATTTGACCTTGTACACATTGTCTATTAATTAGAAAAATGAGAACTGGAATATTAAAAAACAACTATTTTTTAAATTATGTATACCTTATGTAAATGATACTCCATCTTTACTACATTTTCAATATACGTAAGACTTAGTTATTTTTAACTTCATCATTTAAAGATCTTTAACTTTTCCCTATTTTAGATTTTAGTTTCTAGCACTTACAACATAATATTAGTTTGAAGCTTGCTTTCTCCCTTCCATCAATTATTTTAACTTTAAAGTTGGGCCAGAATTAAGGCCAAAGATGTAAACCCAGTCAGAAAAATCTACAGAGGAGTTTTCCTATGAGAATAGATAGTTTAACTTGAAATGCTATACCTGACAACCACCTGAATTGCTAAAGAACTTTGATGGAGTTGATGATGTGTGAATACCCATGAGATTTACATATCCACTAAGACATGAAACAAGATAAACGTTAGAAGACCAATCGTGAAAGCGTCTAGAACGATTAATTGTGAAAAGTTATTTGTTTAAGCCTTTTAATTATTTTTGTTAAAAGTTTATTGAATAGAGGTTACCTCTAAAAGTTAACTAGAAATTGTAATTGAGTGGCACGATATAGGTAATCACTCATTGGGCGATAATGCGTAGGTGGTGGGCAATCGATAAATACAGCCCTAGCCAAGGTAATTACTTATGATTTTATTAAAAATGCACTAAGTTATTAGCTTTAATTTTCTATCAAAACTTTTAATTTTAATTTTTATTTTCATTGAACTTTGAGCACATTTGAGAAAGAAAATTGCAAGTAGTATTTGACAATTATCGAAAAGCTTTCAGAAGGTTGATCTGATATTGCTCTAAAGAAAATGTGTGAAAACGGAAGATGGCATGATGCAAGAGCATATAATTAAGTTAATTGAGTAACGATGGTCATGTGGAAGGAAATATTGGTGAAAAGGTTAAAAGTCATGAAGACCTATAAGAAATATAAACTAACATTGGACAGCACAGGTTGGACGGTAATTTTAATAAACTGATGAAAATTTATAAACTTAGTCAAACTAATTCATTAAATGCTCATTAACGTTCATTCAAATAAGATAAATAATGGATTTCTTTAAATAGTTGAAAACATACAATAAAATAAAGAGTTTATTATTTTTATTGGATTTCGAAAAATTTATTTATATCAAATGACAGGCGCTTTGGTGGTTATCCTTAGCCCTTTAGTTGACTATAGGCTTCACAGAGAGGAAGGAATATCGAAGGGAAAAAGTCGAGAGGGTGGGGAGGAAAGAGAAGAGTGTCTCAAAGATGTAAAAGAGACAGACACAAAGGTAGAAAAAAGGTGATGTGATTAATGTGGAATTAGTCAAATATGACAAATTGTGGGGTGATGATAATTTGAAGTTGGAAGTCAATTGCCAGTTAATAGACTTTTTTGTCGGATGAGAATACGTTGCCCAGGGTGCACCACGTGGAGGTAATTCTATCGCACACCCCGATTTCGAAAATATTGATATCAAAGTTCTTATTCCAGAACAATGAATTAAAAAATATGATTTCTTCTAATAACATAAAATTAAATACAATTTTATGGAATTGTGGAAAGTCAAAACGTTTTGTTTTATTATACTATTTTCTACTTATAACCTTAAGGCCTCCTAATTTATTGGTTTATTTTTAAATATGCACAAAATTGAATTTGCTCTTATCGTGAACTATGATAATAAACTATTTCTAAAGAAAAAATAGCAATTAAAATGTATTCATGGCTTTTACTTGTCCGAGCCTCTGCAATGGGGTGGTCACCAATTTTAGACAAACCGTTATATAGTCTACCTGAACCCGAAGATAAAGACGAAAAATTAGAAAGGAAAACACGCATCAATGTCAGTGGAACTATTTTTGAAACTTGGCAATCAACCCTAGACAGATATCCATTTACACTTCTTGGATCGTCAGAACGTGAATATTTTTATAATGAAGTCACACATGAGTATTTCTTCGACAGAGATCCTCAAGTTTTTCGATATATTCTTAATTATTACCGAACTGGTAGACTGCATTTCCCCAGACAAGAATGTGTGTCTATTTATGAAGACGAGCTAAACTTTTTCGGTATTCGGCCAGACGCTCTGGAGATTTGCTGTTATGAAGACTATATGGAGAAAAAGAAAGAGGATGCTGATCGGTTTGTTACAATAAAGGAAGAGCTACCATTTGACTATTCCAAACTAACTTCCTTCCGAGAACGTCTGTGGTTTGCTTTTGAAAATCCTCACTTCACAAATCTTGGCCAAGTGCTCTACTATGTCTCCGGTTTCTTCATTGCCCTGTCAGTTCTAGCAAATATTATTGAAACTGTTACCTGTACTGTCTCTCCTGATACTGGTTTACCAATTTCTTGTGGTGTTCAATTTGAAAGCGCTTTCTTCTGCCTGGATACAGGATGTGTTTTAATCTTCACACTGGAATATTTTGCTCGACTATATGCAGCCCCAAGTCGTTGTAAATTTGCGAAATCTTCAATGTCCATAATCGATGTTGTCGCTGTTCTACCCTACTACATCGGTCTATTTATGACAACCAACGTATCTGGAGCTTTCACCACGTTAAGAGTTTTTCGCGTGTTTCGGATATTTAAGTTCTCTCGGCACAGCCAGGGTCTTCGAATTTTGGGGTACACGCTCAAGTCTTGTGCTTCTGAGCTTGGATTCTTACTATTCAGCATGTCCATGGCTATTATTATATTTGCTACAATTATGTATTATGCGGAAAAGTCAGAGACCTCACAATTTACTAGCATACCAGCTGCATCATGGTATACTATTGTTACAATGACCACACTAGGGTAAGCAAGAATGGTGAATTTTATATTTCCTGAGAATTATTCAGTGGTAATTAAAAGTTACGGTGGCATAAATAAGAGTCTGATTGGATACGAATGCCAAATATTATTAAGATGCTTATTTCAATTATTTATTTATTATTAAATATATTTTTGATCCGAAATTTTATCAGATGGGGCTATTATCCGAAAAAATTATCTCCTGGCATTTTGTTAATCATGGAGCGTTGGTTTCATAGGTTGCTGCAATTGAATTATTTTGGTGCTATTATTATTATATGTATGCTTAATCGAAATGTATTACAAGTACATTATTATTTCTATTTAATACATATCTTTGATGTACTGGTTGATAATTATATATAAGTTCTAACATTTGAAACCCGTTTGCAAAAGTACCTACTTACTTCTTTGTTTCATGTTCATTGAGCATTGGTTTTGAAGATGTGCATTTTTTTATTTACATAAAAATTTGATTCCCTAAAAATGGAAATTGCTGGGGCCAGTTCATATATTATAGTGTATAGTGGAATTAGTTGTGGATGTATTCGAGCATTACAAACGATCATTTTCTCACCTGATAATTGCATTTCAATGAACCATGCACGAATCGATGATTTTGAAAATTATTCATTTAATACCTAAGACCTTGCAATAATGAAAGGATTTAAAAAGATATAATGTCTACTTTATTAATTAATTCTTCTCCTAATTTTAGGAAAAATTCAATTATTTAATAAAACTTCTTTTAAAATGATAGATTGCTACTGACGTTATACATTAAACTTTTCCAAATTTAAAATTTCTGTCAGCTATAATTGGTAAAATTTGATTATTTTTGCTGTAGAATAAACCGTAAGCATTTGTAGCGGATTGCTACCTTAGTAAAGCCTGACTGACTCAGAAATCTCTATGGCAAATTCTCCATCATCTAGCTAGACTCCCAGAACCAGCTAAGCTATAGCCCAGCTATAAAGGAAACAGACGTTTAGCACGGAGCACGTTTATTCAATACGTATATCGCGGATAAAGTGTTTACAGGAAAGAAACTCAGTCATACAAAATGGCGGATTAGATAAAACAAGTGAGGGTCATTGAGCTGCTATTGGCTGCGTGCTCTTGTCCTCAATCAGTACGCGAAGTTGTACGGCCGCACCTCAAGCCTATGTGAACACGCATGCGATGACGTGTCCCACATTACTCCCCCCCTAGAGCGTTTGTTGGAACCTAAAAGGAGAAAGAAAACGCTCGATTTAAGGACTGTACATAGTCGGCCAGCGAAGAGGGGAAGGTAGATTTTCGGCCATAGAGAAACAGGGTATTGGGTAGAGGTGGGACGGGTGTTGGAACTGCTGAGACGGGATTGTTGGAGTGAGAGGCAGTAGGATTGTGGACTTCGTGCATGCTTGTGGACCTTGCCGGCTGAGCGAGTGAGGCAGTATTTGGTCCACTGACGAGCGTCCTGTTGGATGTACCTCGATATGCAACGATCGGTGTTCAACGTTCTGGTTGAACGGATGTCTGGTTGCGAACAATCCATGGTCAAATCTTCCGGCGTGTGCTTGCCTGACGATTGGTCTCGGCTTGCCAGTTGAAATGCAGTTGTGAGTTGGAGTTTTGGGGGATCTGTAAGGGTAGGATTTCGAAGATTATCGTGCTCAGGCGGTTATTTGCGTAGGGTAGAAGGATGAAGTTCTTAAGTCAAGAAAAAATGGACATTCGAAACGCAACGTGCTCCGGCTGTTGCCTGTTTCCAAGATCGTTCTGTGGGAGTCATAGCCAGTGAAAGGAGAGATTTGGGGTGCCGTTGGGATGCTGATCGTTCGCGGGAAGGAACCATCAGATGAGGAGGGCGATGTGAACAACAATCGCGTCGCTGATGAGAGATCGAGTCTCTATTGAGCGGAAGTCAGGATCTGACTTATCGTGAGAAACGGCAGTGGACGTAAGNGAGCGAGAAGAGATCACCGAGGGAATTGAGGGACGAGGAAAGTGAATCCCGAAGCCAGTGAGAGATTAGTTCTCTGCTGAGCGATTGAAGTCAGACTTTGGCAATCACGTCAGGGTCACCAATTTGTAGCGGATTGCTACCTTAGTAAAGCCTGACTGACTCAGAAATCTCTATGGCAAATTCTCCATCATCTAGCTAGACTCCCAGAACCAGCTAAGCTATAGCCCAGCTATAAAGGAAACAGACGTTTAGCACGGAGCACGTTTATTCAATACGTATATCGCGGATAAAGTGTTTACAGGAAAGAAACTCAGTCATACAAAATGGCGGATTAGATAAAACAAGTGAGGGTCATTGAGCTGCTATTGGCTGCGTGCTCTTGTCCTCAATCAGTACGCGAAGTTGTACGGCCGCACCTCAAGCCTATGTGAACACGCATGCGATGACGTCAACATCACGTTCAAACTTGCGTACGGATTAGGTGCGGCGACCTCACTGACATTAACCAATCAGGGACGCCCATTTGTTTTACCGGATTCGCCATGTTGATAATGACTAAGTTCCTTCCTATACACACGACTGACGTGCTACGTAGTAAATAAACGTATCCCTTCTCGCTCGCCTTTTTCCTCCATAGCTTTGCAATAGCAGCTAGTTTGGGAGGCTCATCGATAGTAGAGATAACTGAGTTCAGTCTAGGCTTATTTGGTGTAGCAATCCGCTACACATTCAATTCTAATTTCATTATTTCCATTTAAAGGCTATTTTACAATTATTGTTTAGTCTGTCTCTTTAATTTTAATATTTGGGAAATTACACAAAGAATTTATTTGAAGATTAAAACGAATGCACTAATTTATTATGAAGTCCTTATAATTCCGTAACATTATCTTGATTTTGGAAGAACGTGTTTTATATTAGAAAAAAAAACTTTATGGGGTTGTATTAAATGGTAATTAACGGTAATTAGCCACTATGAGTGCCCATTTCCTCGCGAAATACTCCTCTCCCTTTAATCTCATCTTTTATTAGATCTAACTAATTCTATGAACATCAAACAACGCGTGCACACATACACACGCACACACACACACACTTTCTACTTATCAAATAACCAGACAGATGCAAGTACCACTGTACCTCTACCTAACTGCAATCTGACCGATGCAAACCTCTTAAACACACCCTCTAGGAGTTCTTTGTAGCTGTTAAATAATTCCTTGCATTGTCAGTGTCGTGATCTTGGTGAAAAGCATAATTCACCCCTCCTCCCACAACTATCCAATAGAAGTGGTGGGATTTAGTCTTAGTGAAGCATTTTACCTCAGTAATAAACAGAGTCGCGTCCTCCTACTGATACCCCACTTCTAGGAGATGATACCGTGTAAGTCGTGTTGTCTAAATCTTCTGCATTTCTCAGTGCATTCAATGAAAAGTGAGCTGACACTTTCCATTTTCCCCTTCTTGGAAGGAGGCAAGGGTAAACTTGGTTAATTTACAGCACTAGTCGCGAAAGTAGTTCAAAGGGAATTCGTTTAAGTGGCTTAATTATTGTAAAAATTTGTCTATTTAAGCTTTTGAACTTTAATTTTTTGTCCTATGTAATTATGTATTCTACGGCATGCTTTAAGTCGCCAGTGATGATTAATAATTCATATCCGGTAAATCTTTTTCATATGCTGAAATAGCGTATATGTGCTGTTCCTGTGGGTGGATCTTGAATGGTATTTTTTCTCCATCTCTAAGGAGTGTAATAAATGGAAACTTCTTTATTGCGAGTGATTTCATAACTACCTTAAACCGGAAATGCAATACTGGTGGCTGATATTTTGACTATTTTTTTCATGTCAATAGGGTCGAGACAGTAAAAGGATTTCGAGGGGTTTAGCATAACTGAGTAGATATTGACCAAGGTAAGAAATTAATCCCCTTAACCGAATACCAACTTTCAACTTGTGAGATGAGAAATATTTATTTAAAATGGTGGACTTTATGATACATATCATTAGTTCTGTAGCTGACTTCGGGCTTCACAGAGGGGAGGAGGAACATCAAAGTCACAAAAAGTGGAGAGGGGGGGATAGAAGAGTGATTCACAGATGTAAAAGAGATAGGCAGACAAAAAAGGTAGAAAAAAGGTGAGATGAGCACTGTGGAAGTGATGGAATATGACATACCGTGGGGTCATGGTTGTTTGAAGTCGGATGTCAACTGCCAGTTTATAGTTTTATATGAGTGTACGTTGCCCAGGGTGCATCATGTTGAGGTAAGTCTATCGCACACCCCGGGTGGAAAATATGAAGGAATGCACTAAAAAAGGACGTCACAGTTTCCAGATTGAATTTGGCCTATTTAATTCCTTCCCTTTTTCTAAAGGGGATCTAAATTTTCACCTATACACATCCTGTTCAAAATGTACTTTTAATATGTTATTGTGATTAAATGGATAAAAAGAAGCCATGGTTCTAAATTTGGATCCCTGTAGATTTTAATGCATTTGAAGTAACACAGGAGTGCTGTTTAATGTAGAGACGCAAAAAAGTATTCAGTAAGGGCAACATCTTAATGAAATTAGGCAGTCGGAGAAGGGTCGGTCTTTCAGACTGCCTGTGTCTGTGGAACTAACCTTCATTTACAGCTTCAGCACTAGTCTTTACAAAATATTTAGAAAAATTAAATCGGTTGTTCGTTGTCTCAGTGCCTCCTCCTCATTTGATAAAATTATAATATTTTCGAATTTCCTTGTCTTTTTACACTTGTAAAAAAAACATAAGCAAGACTTAATTATCATGTAATTCTAAGCAAGCGCAGAAGTAAAAAAAGTATATTTAAATGGTTTGCTCAATAATACTGACTCCTATGTTTAATAGACTTCACATCACATGACAACAAAGTTGTGAAATTTCAGCAAAAAATTTGCTTCCTTGACATATATGTACAAAAAAACGTTTGAAAGGCTCATACACTGTCGAAATTTTTCTCCTTGTAAGTTATTTTTTTGACAGATAAAAATTCACACAGTATTTTATTTCGTAAAATTTTATGAGCCATTAAAA